GCTTCAGATTGGTGCAGCTCCAGCTGTTGTGGCCATTTGATAAGTGAACCAGTGGATGGAAGTCAGTCAGTCTCTCTCTCTCTCTCTCTCTCTCTTTCTCTCTCTGCCTCTGCCTTTCAAATAAATAAATTTTTAAAAAAATTAAGGGCTGGTGCTGCTGTGGCTCACTTGTTTAATCCTCCGCCTGCGGTGCCGGCATCTCATATGGGCGCCGGGTTCTAGTCCTGGCTGCTCCTCTTCCAGTCCATCTCTCTGCTTTGGCCCGGGAGGGCAGTAGAGGATGGCCCAAGTGCTTGGGCCCTGCACCCGCATGGGAGACCAGGAGGAAGCACCTGGCTCCTGGCTTCCGATCGGCGCAGCACACCAGCCATGGCAGCCATTTGGGGGGTGAACCAATGGAAGGAAGACCTTTCTCTCTGTCTCTCTCTCATTGTCTAACTCTATCTGTCAAAAAGAAAAAAAAAAGTGAAGCAGCCGTGACATGAGCCAGTGCCCCCCCCCCCAAAAAGTCCAAAAAAAACCCCACACTGGAGGATCTTACTCTGTCTCTCAGAGTAAATAAATAATTTTAAAATAAAAATAATGTGTCTCAAATTAACAAGTTAGTGAGGATCTAAAGCCACAAGAACTCTGCACTGCTGGTAGATTTGTAATTTGGTACAACTTTGGCATTCTCTGGTGAAGTTGATAATATGTATATTTTATTACACAGCATTTTCACTTTGAGATATGAGGGAACTTCATGTTTTGTGAAGAAATGGAATTAAAAGATAACACTTGGGGGGCCGACACTGTGGTGTAGCTGGTGAAGCCGCTGCCTGCAGTGCTGGCATTCCATATAGATGCAAGTTCTAGTCCTGGCTGCTACACTTCCGATCCAGCTCTCTGCTATGGCCTGGGAAAGCAGTGGAAGATGGTGCCAAGTCCTTGGGCCCCTGCACCCACATGGGAGACCTGGAAGAAGCTCCTGGCTCCTGACTTCAGATTGGCACAACGCTGGCTATTGCAGCCGATTGGAGAGTCATCTCTCTCTCTCTCTCTCTCTCTCTCTCTCTCTGTGTGTGTGTGTGTGTGTGTGTGTGTGTGTAACTTTCTCTCTGACTTTTAAATAAAGAAATCTTACCCAAAAAAAAAATAATGTTTGGGATTCAGATGCTGTGTCCCTCACCAAAATGCCTGAGTTCAGTTCCTGGGCTCCAACAGCTGTCTCTTGCATCTTAAGGCATTTGGGGACTGAACCAGCAAACGGGAGCACACACTCTTACCACCTCTTTTTCTGCTTCTTTGCCTTTTAAATAAATAAAAAATAAATTTTAAGATAGTGCTCTTGGGGCTGGCACTGTGGCGTAGTGGGTAAAGCTGCTGTCTGTAGTGCTGGCATCCCATATGGGCGCTGGTTCAAGACCTGACTGCTCCACTTCTGATCCAGCTCTCTGCTATGGCCTGGGAGAGCAGAAGAAGATGGCCCAAGTGCTTGGGCCCCTGCACCTGCATGGGAGACTCAGAAGAAGCTCCTGGCTCCTGGCTTCAGGCTTCAGACTGGTCCAGCTCCAGGTGTTGGGCCATGTGGGGAGTGAACCAGCGGATGGAAGATTCTCTCTCTCTCTCTCTCTCTCTCTCTGCTTCTGTAACTCTGCCTTTCAAGTAAATCTTTTTTGAAAATAGTGGTCATATTACATATGTGTGTATGTGAGAGAGAGAGAGAGATTGGTTTACAATTGGAATAAGTAGTAGAAAGGAGTAGCTGGCACTGTGGCATAGCAGGTGAAGCCATTGTCTGCAATGCCAGCATCCTTGCTGGTGTGCCTAGGAAAGCAATGGAAGATGGCCCAAGTGCTTGAAGATCCAAATGAAGCTTCTGACTCCTGGCTTCAGCCTGACCCAGCCCTGGCCATTATGGCCTTTTGGGGGGCGGGGATGAACCAGCAGATGAAAAATACCTCTCTCTCTATCTCTCCCTCTCTTTCTCTGTGTATCTCTGCCTTCAAATAAAATAAATATTTTATGTCAGGTAAATAAAAATCTTTTAAGAAAAGGCAAGAGCTGGCGCCGTGGCTCAATAGGCTAATCCTCCACCTGCGGCACCGGCACCCCAGGTTCTAGTCCCGGTCAGGTCGCGGGATTCTTTCCCGGTTGCCCCTCTTCCAGGCCAGCTCTCTGCTGTGGCCCGGGAGTGCAGTGGAGGATGGACAAGTGCTTGTCCCATGCTGCACCCGCATGGGAGACCAGGAGAAGCACCTGGCTCCTGCCTTTGGATTAGCGCATTGCACCAGCTGCAGCGCGCTGGCCGCGGCGGCCATTGGAGGGTGAACCAACGGCAAAAGGAAGACCTTTCTCTCTGTCTCTCTCTCTCACTGTCCACTCTGCCTGTCAAAAAAAAAAAAAAAGAAAAGAAAAGGCAAGAAATGCTGCGGTATGCGGCTACATCTCAAATGTTGATTATGTCACAAAGGTATACACATAAAGTATGCTTCTACTTTTAGAAAGTTCAGAGATGTGATCGGTAAAATTATGGCTCCTCGAAGATGTCCCCATCCTAATCCCTATAACCTGAACATACTAGGGTACATGGTACAGAAAATTAAGATTACTAATCAGCTGACCTTAAAATAGGAAAAGTATCAGGGATTATCTTGGGTAGGGGACAGAAACACATGCAGGGGGCAGACAATGTCACAGGGATCCTTAATTGTGGAAGAAGGAGGCAGAAGAGGGAGAATCATAGAGATGGTACCATGAGGAGAATTCGTCCTAACCTTGCTGCTTTGAAGATGGGGGAATGGAGATATGAGCCAAGGAATGTGGGCAGTCTGTAGAAGCTAGAAATGGAAGGAAATGGACTCTCCCCTAAAGGCCCCCAGAATTCACACAGCCTTACTGACACCTTGATTTTAGCCCAGTGAGACCCATTTCCAACCTCTGACCTCTAGAACTGTGGAATTAGTAAGTTTGTGTTATACCACTGAGTTTGTAGCAATATATTACAGCAGTTAACAGGAAATGTTATAACACAGGAGGCAAAACTATAAATTATGAAGTGCTAAAATGTAAAACTGTCAATGAAATGTTTATCACAAAAACCTATAAGGGATTATGGTTAGTAGGAGCTCCATTGGGGCATCTGGGGTAACACTCTATTTAAACACATTTTATGTTTTAGTACAGTCTTCTACATTATGAAGATAAAACATATTGCTTTTATAACTAGAAAAAAGTTTAAGAAGTAAAACATATTTTTTAAGATTTATTTATTTATTTGAAAGAGTTACAAAGAAATAGAGGCAGAGGCAGAGAAGTCTTCCATCCACTGGTTCACTACCCAAATGGCTGCAATGGCCAGAGCTGGGCTGATCAGAAGCCAGGAGCCAGGAGCTTCTTCCAGGTCCCCCACATGAGTACAGGGGCCCAGCCCAAGGACTTGGACCATCGTTCATTGCTTTCTGAGGCCATAGCAGAGAGCTGGATCAGAAGTGGAGCAGCCAGGACTCGAACCATCGCCCATATGTGATGCCAGCACTGGAGGCAGTGGCTTGACCCCAGTGCCACCCCTCCCCCCTTTTTTTTCCTAGCTAAAGGGTAAGATTTGTTTTTCTTTTCCTCATTTATTGTATTTCTTGGGATGAAAAGTTTTCTTTTTTAGGGATTATGACAGGAAATATACCTTGTAAACTAATATTATCTTACTGTGTTATCTATAATATGGTTTATGACTAATTCAGTCTCTTCATTTATGAATTCATAGCATATTAAAAAATTATTGAACCAAATCAAGGAAGAAACAGCTCACTTGCTCCCTGCCTCAAATGAATACTTTTTAGTGGCAAAGCTTAAGAGAACTCTTAAAAACTCTGATTTTAAAAGTAGATATTTAAAGCTAGCTAATTATTCAAAATTAACAAGTAATTGTTTATTTTATTTTTCAAATTTTTTTATTTGAAAGAGAGGGTTTACTTCCCAAATGTCCAAAACACAGAGACTTGGGCTGGGCTGAAATCAGTCACCAGGAATTCAAATTGGACTGAATTTGCCCCAAGTTGATTCATTTCCCAATTCCAGCTTCCTGCCAACGTGCACCCTGGGAGACAGCAGATGGTAACTCAAGCAATTGGGTCATTGTCACACATATGGGAAACCTGAATGGTATTCTTGGCTCCTTGCTTATTGTGGTCATTTGGGGACTGAAGAAACAAAGGGAGCCCTCTATGTATCTCTGCCTCTCAAATAAATAAAAAATTTTTGAAAACTCTAGATGGGTAATGATGGAGTGATGGTGTATCAGCCTGTTCTTTGTCCTCTGAATTTTCTGGAAGTTTGGGGCTGTCTAGAGGCTTGATTAGGTTCACATTCTAATTGTGGTTCTCTTGGCAAGGCCATATGTGATAGTTTATTTTAGTGCGAAGCATATAATTTCTGATTTTAGACATGCCTCACTTCATCTCCCTATTTCACTACCAGTGATACCGTCATAGAGCTAAGGCAGGATAAATATTTGATTCTTTTTCTTAATTCACCAGTTTAAAAGATAAGGAACTGGTCTTTTGTCATCTGTTGGGAAAAGATGTGTTATTATAAACTAACGTAGTTCATTATATGATGAATTTCAGTCCTCTGCAGTTATTATCTTCATTGAAACTCAAATTGTCTCATCTTTGCTTAGCAGGACAGAGTTGTTTCCTAAGTCCTTTTGACATGATCCTGGTAACCTTTGATGAAGAAAAATATTTTTTTTGTTTTGCTTTTGTAAGAATCTCATGTTTTGTGTTGTCTTTGGAAACGTAGATTTTAGGGATCTGTTTTTTCCTAGAATATTTGGAATTTAGTTATATAATCTTTGTTGGAATTTGCAGGCAGATACACACTAGAACTCCGTTGTTCACAAAAAGTAAGATTTTTTTAGTACATGTGGAATCTCAAAAGGAATAAGCATCTCCCAACAACCAATTTAAAGACATATGTTAAAGTTCTGAGGGCTCATTTTAAACTTTATTTTTTTCTTTCAGATTTGTCACGAAATCGCCTCTCAGAAATTCCTATAGAAGCCTGTCACTTTGTTTCTCTTGAAAATCTCAACTTGTATCAAAATTGTATTCGGTATATCCCAGAGGCAATTCTAAATCTGCAAGCTCTAACATTCTTGAATGTTAGGTAAGAATATTCTTTTTTTTAAAAAAGTTTGTTTTATGTTGTCTTTTCATTTTTCTCATCTCTTTCACTAAAATATTTATGAATATTTACATTATCTGTTCTTAGTATTTGTTCATGCTGTTAGGATATGTTACCAGTATTTCCTAAGGTACTTGCAGTTTCTCCCTTTATCTTCAGCTTTGTAGTAAATACAGACCCTACTAGCAATTAGCCTAATAAGCTTGCAGCTGCCTTATAATAATGATTGTCTAATTATACTTTCAAATGACCTTCTTCAAATAAGACTAGAAGATCTGAAATTGCTTCTTTTGGTCCTTGTATTGTTATTATATTAAGTTCCAAGTGTATAATGCACTTATGCAGCTCTTTTATTTTTTTTAACATCTTACAAGAATTTTTTTTTATTTCACTATAAAAACTGTTCATTAGAGAAAATTCACAAATATAGAAAAGCATAAAGGAAATTCATGAAAATGTTGTGTCTGGGTTACATAATTATTGCTCTTTTCCTTCTGTTTTTAAGTGAATTTTAGTCATTCAATCAAGTTTTAAATGAATTTTTCCCTATGTCATGAAATATTTTTTGGAAATATTTGTAAATATAATAATTTGTTGTACATTTTATATACTTTATAAAAAACCTATTTTTCTCTTTGGTATTTCTTCTAGTTTTCATGATAAAGTAATATTAGAAAACTTTTAATATAAAAGATTAATTTTTCTGTTTCCTTCAGATAAATGTCCATAAGTACAATAATTATTGTATTAAAAAGTATTAAAGGCTCGTGGTTTATATTAGTTAAATCAGCAAAAGATCTTGAAAATAGGGAATTGGGCTGGCGCTGCGGCTCAATAGGCTAATCCTCTGCCTGCAGCGCTGGCACCCCAGGTTCTAGTCCTGGTCGGGATGCCAGATTCTGTCCTGGTTGCTCCTCTTCCAGTCCAGCTCTCTGCTGTGGCCCGGGAAGGCAGTGGAGGATGGCCCAAGTGCTTGGGCCCTGCACATTCATGGGAGACCAGGAGAAGCACCTGGCTCCTGGCTTCGGATCAGCATGATGCGCCAGCTGCAGCGGCCATTGGGGGGTGAACCAACGCTAAAGGAAGACCTTTCTCTCTGTCTCTCTCTCTCACTGTCCACTCTGCCTGTCAAAAAAAAAAAAAAAAAAGGAAATTGATCCTAAGGATTAAGAAGGGGAAATCACCCAAGAAAAATTTCAGTTTATTTTTTATCCTAATGAAAGATGTGTTTTATTTTATTTTTAGTTCCAATTTTCATGTTTTTTATATAAATAAAAGGATTCCTTTGTTAATATATGAAGTCACAGAATATCACTTGTCTTGCATGGAGCTGTATTTGAGTCACTTAAGTATATTTGGTTATAATGTAATGGTGAGGCAAATAAGTTGCAAATGATTTTATTTATAGAACAAGTGTTGATAGTTGTCTACTACTTTTTTAGATAGTTTTTTCTTATATAAATTTTACTTTAATAAAGTATGTTTATATAGCACTTTATTATTTACATTCATTTTGCAAGTACCCTGTAAGATAAGTAATGGAAATATTAAGACCCTCAATATACAATCTTTGTAACATGCAGATGAGTTCAGTGCTGTGCCTAAAACTACAACTGGAAGGCTAAAATTCAAATAAGATGTCTTGTTTATTCTTTGTATGTCTCATTTATTATTTTACTGAGTCTAGAATGGGAAAGATGAAAAATTTTTCTTCAGTAGTGAGCTCTGACTCTTCTCTTTCTCTCTTTATCCATTTAGTCGAAACCAGCTGTCAACGTTGCCAGTACACTTGTGTAATTTACCATTAAAAGTCTTAATTGCTAGTAATAACAAATTGGTCTCACTTCCAGAAGAAATTGGACACCTCAGATATTTGACAGAACTTGTAAGTTAATATTTTGTTGTTTGGTATGTAATCTCCATAGACCATATCATACTCTTGCATGGTAAAAATCTTTTAAGATATGTTTTTTTAGGTTTTTCCCAAAATTGATAATCAGCTAATGAAGTTTTACTGAATGGTCAATAATCAGGTGCTTTACCACAGAATTAAGAAAGGATTATAGGGGCCGGCACTGTGACGTAGCAGGTAAAGCTGCTGCCTGCAGCACCAGCCTCCCATATGGACGCTGGTTCAATCCCAACCATTCCACTTGTGATCCAGCTCCCTACTAATGTGCCTGGGAAAGCAATAGAAGATGGCCCAAGTGCTTGGGCCCATGCACCTTAATAGGAAACCCAGAAGAAGCTCCCGGTTCCTGGCTTCAGATCAGCCTAGCTCCAGCTGTTGTAGCCATTTGGGGAGTAAACCACCAGGTGGAGGACCTCTCTCTCTATCTGTCTCTGCCTCTCTATAACTCTGCCTTTCAAATAAATAAATAGATCTTTAAAAAAAAAAAAAAAACCTGAAAATACAAGTTTAAAAGGCCCACACAGAGTGGGAAAATATCATTAGAATTATGTTCTGACCAACATTAAGTGATTTCTGTATTATGAAACATTTGAGATCCCAAGTGTGTGGGAAACCAGGAAGAAACTTCTGGCTCCTGGCTTTGGATCAGCTCAGTTCTGGCATTTGCAGTCATTTGGAAAGTGAACCAGAGAAATGGAAGACTTCTCTCTTTGGCTCTCCATCTCTCTGTAACTGTCTGTCAAATAAATAAAATAATTAAAAAAAAAAAAAAAGAAGAAGAAGAAGTGGAGCAGCCGGGACTTGAACCGATTCCCATATGGGATGCCAGCACTGCAGGTGGTGGCTTTTCCCCATTCGCCAGAGTGCTGACCCTTACCACTCCTTTTAAATGATAAGAAACCACTACTTGAGTAATTATGTTATGATGGAATAAGACATTTCTCATTCCGTCACAGTAGTATTAAGTGTACTGAAATTATCCTGATTTTATGACTGAGAAAACTAGTACTCAGATAGGTTAAATAATTAGCCCAAAGTTACATTGCCAAAGTAGAACTTAAAATCAGCTTACCTGAGCCGGCGCCGTGGCTCAATAGGCTAATCCTCCACCTTGCGGCGCCGGCACACCGGGTTCTAGTCCCGGTTGGGGCACCGGATTCTGTCCCGGTTGCCCCTCTTCCAGGCCAGCTCTCTGCTATGGCCAGGGAGTGCAGTGGAGGATGGCCCAGGTGCTTGGGCCCTGCACCCCATGGGAGACCAGGAAAAGCACCTGGCTCCTGGCTCCTGCCATCGGATCAGCGCGGTGCGCCGGCTGCAGCGGCGGCCATTGGAGGGTGAACCAACGGCAAAGGAAGACCTTTCTCTCTCTGTCTCTCTCTCTCACTGTCCACTCTGCCTGAAAAAAAAAAAAAAAAAAAAAAAAAAAAAATCAGCTTACCTGAACTATAAAGCCCGTATTTTTATTTCTGAAATGGTCAAACGCAATTATGTCCATTGAGGTTTGGGAGGATAATTCATTGTAGGTTTCTTAACAAAGACGTTTATCAGAGACAAAAAATTAATACACATATTTTCTAGTTAGAACACAAATTAGAGCACTCTTTTGCAGATAGATTATAAATATAAGAGATTACTTGTAAAAATTCACACTTAGAGGCTAGAGCTGCTGCATAGTAGGTAGAGCCACCACCTGTAGCATTGGCATCCCATAGGGGTGCTGGTTTTTATCTAGGCTGCTCCACTTCTGATCCACCTCCCTGCTGATGGCCTGGGAAAACAGCAGGTGATGGCCTGAATGCTTGGGCCCCTGCACTCTCTTAGAAGACCTAGAAGAAGCTCCTGGCTTTGGCCTGGCCCTGGTCTAGCTGTTGCAACCATTTGGGGAGTGAATCAGCAGAAGGAAGATCTCTCTCTCTCAGTCTCTCCCACTCTCTCTCTCTGTAGCTCTGTCGTTGAAATAAATAACTCTTAAATTCACACACAAATCTAGTCTAGATGCTAGACTACTGTTTTGAGAGTCAGATCTGGGAAATTAAACCAAATTATGTATTTGTTACTGTTTCTTCAGAACTTGGGTTAATAAAATGAACTGGTGGTAAATTATACTGCAGTGACAAGAGCCTCAGGTGATCACTGACACCATAAATAAAGAGTGTTAGTTGTTAAATCAACAACAGGAGTCACTGTGCACTTGTTCCCCATGTAGGACCTCTGTCCTTAATGTGTTGTACTATGAGAACTAATGTTAAAACTAGTCTTCAAACAGTACTTTATATTTTGTGTGTGTGTGTGGGTGCAAACTGTTGAAATCTCTACTTAGTATAGAGTTAATCTTCTGTGTATAAAGATAATTAAAAATAAATCTTAATGAAGAATAAGGTGGGAGAGGGAGTAGGAGGTGGGATGGTTTGGGAGTGTGAGGATGGGAATGGGGGGAAGAATGCCTATAATCCAAAAGTTGTACTTATGAAATTTATATTTATCAAATAAAAGCTTTCTATAAAAATTACACTGCAGATTCTTACGTTTATTTTCAAATCATTTAAGTTTTTTGTGCCTACTAACTCAATTCTAAATATTTAAAAGATATATCTCACAGAAGCTGTTTTTTGTTTCCACAAAGGAAATTAACTGATAACCCTCACTCTTAGGGAGATTTTGTGGCAGAGTAAAAATTAGTAACCTGAGACTCCTGATTCTCTCCTGATGGTCTTTCTGTAACATCCTTGTTGCCTCTTTCCCTCTCTCCCCCTTTATTTTTAAGTAGAAATAAACTGCTCTTTCAACATTTTTTAGAATGCCTTTAACTTTAATGTCTAGAGCATTAGACTAAGAAGGCTGCTTCTGGTTCTACTTCTGTTACTGTTGGTAGGAAAAGCAAAACTGGTATTGTTTTCTCTAAGAATATTTTGGGAAAATTAAAAAACAATGTCTGAAGCTTTTTCAAGTTTTTGATAAATGATGTTTTATAAATAGTAGATATCTGATACTCTTTTACTCATGTATTGGAAGAATTTTAAGAGTTAGTGTGACAGCTTAGCACTTTCTTCTGCTGTACATCATTATGGGTTTACAGATTATTCTGGGAGGTCTTAGTTTACAACATTTTGAATTTTGTACTTTATTATTTTCCATGACAATCAGTTAAGAATTATTTCAGTCATCATCCATGGATTTTTATTTCATATTCTTTTTTTTTTTTTTTTTTTTTTCATTTTATTTGAAAGGGGGAGAAAGGGATAAGGGGAGAAAGATCATCCGCCTGCTGGTTTGGTTTCCAATGGCCTGTACCCATCCTGGAGTGAGCCACGTCAAAGCTGGGAGTCAGGAGCTCACTTTGGGTTTCCCACATGGGTTACAGGGGCCCAAGTGCTTGAGCCATCACCTGCCACCTCCCAGTTGTACACATTAGCAGGAAACTGGATCAGAAGTAGAGCCAGGGCTGGCGCCGCGGCTCACTAGGCTAATCCTCCGCCTTGTGGCGCCGGCACACCGGGTTCTAGTCCTGGTCGGGGTGCCGGATTCTGTCCCGGTTGCCCCTCTTCCAGGCCAGCTCTCTGCTGTGGCCCGGGAGAGCAGTGGAGGATGGCCAAGTGCTTGGGCCCTGCACCCCATGGGAGACCAGGAGAAGCACCTGGCTCCTGCCATCAGATCAGCGCAGTGCGCCGGCCGCAGCAGCCATTGGAGGGTGAACCAATGGAAAAGGAAGACCTTTCTCTCTGTCTCTCTCTCTCACTGTCCACTCTGCCTGTCCAAAAAAAAAAAGTAGTAGAGCCAGAACTCAAACCTAGACAATCTACTTTGGGAAGTGGGCATCCCAAGCATTGTCTTAACCATTGCACCAAATGCCTGCCCCTCAAATAATTTTATCTTTATGATTTTTATCATTGTTGCATTTTTTCAAGTTTCATTACAGTAATATAAAATTAAAATATTATCTTAAATCAATCTTTTTTAAAAAGCTTTATACTCTTTTCTACTTTTCCACCAATATTTTTATTAATCTGATTTTCTAGACCACCTATTCACATCCTAAATCATTTAATTTTAGTTATGCTCACAACATTCATGTAGATCTGTGTAAAATACGTAGAACCAGTCAAAAACCTGTAATTTTTTTTTAATATTGAATTTTGTATTTATTTGAAAGGCAGAGTTACAGAGAGTGGAAGAAAGACAAGGAGAGATCTTCCTTCTGCTGCTTCATTCCCCAAATGGCCAAAAAGCTATAAATTTTAAAAATTAAATACTGAGGCTGGCACTGTGGTGCAGCATATTAAACTGCTGTCTGCAGTGCTGGCATCCCATATGGACGCTGATTTGAGTCCCGGCTGCTCCACTTCCAATCCAGCTCTCTGCTATGGCCTAGAAAAGTAGTGGAAGATGGCCCAAGTGCTTTGGCCCCTTTACCAATGTGGGAGATCTGGAAGAAGCTCCTGGCTACTGGCTTCAGCCTGGCCCAGCCCTAGCTGGGGAGTGAACCAGCAGATGGAAGGGTCAATCTCTCTCTCTCTAACTGTTTCAAATAAGTAAATAAATCTTAAAAAAAAAAAAAAAAGAAATGTAAATAATTTATGATAGTGCTGACCTGGCTAAAAAAAATAATTAAGTACACAGTAAACATTACGGAGGGTCCGCGTTGTGGCATAGTAGGCTAAGCCTCTGCCTGCAGTGCCATCATCCCAGATGGGTGCTGGTTTGAGTCACGGCTGCACCACTTCCAATCGAACTCTCTGCTAATAGCCTGGGAAAGCAGTAGAAGATGGCCCAAGTGCTTGGGCTCTTGCACCCACATGAAAGACCCAGAAAAAGCTCCTGGCTTCCGATCGGCCCAGCTCCAGCCGTTGCGGCCATTTGGGGAATGAACCAGTGGATGGAAGACTTCTCCCTCTGTCTCTCCCTCTCTCTTTCTGTAATTCTACATCTCACATAAATAATTTAAAAAAAATTGTGGAATTATTCTTGGACACAGAATCAATATTTTTTTTAACACTGGGAAAGACCATATGGTATTATCTTCTCATTTCATTTTGTAGATAATTTATAGCAGTAAAGTTTATAATACTAAAAGTATCTTTATTTTGTATTCAAAATAGGATGTGAGCTGCAATGAAATTCAAACTATACCTTCCCAAATTGGTAATCTGGAGGCCTTGAGAGACCTTAATGTAAGAAGAAATCACTTAGTCCGTTTGCCTGAAGGTAAGAAAATTATTATTTACATTTTAAAGATTTCTTAGGTTGGGGCTGGCGCTATGGTGCAGTGGGTTAACGCCCTGGCCTGAAGCGCTGGCATCCATATGGGCGCCGGTTCTAGTCCTGGCTGCTCCTCTTCCGATCCAGCTCTCTGCTATGGCCTGGGAAAACAGTAGAAGATGGCCCAAGTCCTTGGGCCCCTGCACCCGCTTGGGAGACCTGGAAGAAGCTCCTGGCTCCTGGCTTTGGATCAGCGCAGCTCCAGCCATTGCAGCTATCTGGGGAGTGAACCAGCAGATGGAAGACCTCTCTCTCTCTCTGCTTCTCCTCTCTGTATAACTCTGACTTTCAAATAAATAAATAAATCTTTAAAAAAAAAAAAAAAAAAGATTTCTTAGGTTGATGGACACAGACAAAAATTGATGAATTAGGGCTAGTGTTTGAGATTTATTGATTTATTTAATAATCTTACCTGGCATGCGATCTAAACCCTTAGTGAAAGGTTATTATTGATTTTTTTTTT